TAGTATACACACAGGAAGTGTTGGAGACGTATTTGCCACGGAAATGTTTATACTTTTTGCGGTTGGGGCAAGCCCGATAGTCGCCTTTTTTGTTATGTTAAAAGACTGGCAAACAAGCATAATGGCCCACCTGATGGTAAGCGGCCACCATACCATATACAGGGTGTACAAAAACCTACGAGAAAGACTAAAACTACGCATTATGTACACCCAAACAAGTAATATTACAAAATTTTATACGTGGGAATCATTTGTATTTTTGAGTAAAAAAAATACATTTTTTTTTCCAGTGCAAAATGTATAGCGCGGCGCGCTACTGTGGCGCTACGCAAAGAATGTGCCTGTGTGTATGTGTGTGCGTGTGTGTAAGTGCGACGATAAAAAAAGTTTCTAAATAACATTTAGAAAATATTAATGTATAAATCTTGAAAAAACAATAGTGCCTTTGACCTTTAACATCTCCATAAACATTAATTTCCCAGGTATGGTCCAGAAGAAAAAAATGATCGTCATGATCTGGAAAATACGTGGCCTTCGACTTCGTTAAAGGATTTTTGACACCTGTATAGACGATTGCGATACAAAAAAATATTACTCGCGTTGTCCACTCTAACCCAATCCCCATACCCCGTGGAGCCCTGGAACCTTACTCAACGACAGAAACACGACGCCACCAAAAGGTAGTGTTATTTTACTGTGGTCTTCTGGTCTCCACCTCACGGTGGAAATTACTTCCACAGACAGCCGCTCAAATCGGCTTCTTCACTTGAATCGTCTTGAATCGAATAATAACTTCTTAAAACACCATCTTGTGATTTGATAATATAACGCAGGGTTAATATAATTATAATTGCTCAACTCAAATCATAGTTTGGAAAAGTTATTTTTTATCATTTTACATCTAAGTACACTATTATAAAGCAGAAACGTTAGTTTGTTTGCAGGGAATAACAGAACTATCAAAACTATATCGCAAAAAAATCAGCAGTACGTTGTAATTTCAGCTATTGGTGGAGGCACTGATCTTCTAAATGTAGAGTGAGCGATCTGTGCATGTTCTTTCGCCACGATTTGGGCGCACTTCTCTTAGATTTAAATGAATATTGTGAAATTATCGTTTGAACAACCAAATAGTCGTAAGAATTTCGAGTAATAGAGAATATCGTGTAACTAGTGCTATGAATGAATGTCAGTATTCCGTCATCCCAGACGTTAGCTGTTTACAAGTCAATATAACCTCTTTCATTCGACTTATTTGTAGTAAAATAGCAGTCCAGTTGCTATTACACGACTGTTTAATCGCGTAAAAGCTATCGTGTACGTTTTAGTCAACGTTGTGCAAGTTCATGAAAAGAATAAAGTGAAAATAAATGTAAGTATTCTGCCATTTATATATTATGCTACAATTTTACAGTTACACATAAAAGTAAGTAATTCAGTTAGCCGAAGCTATTACTTTCAAATTCAAAAGTCCACATTTTATGTAATTTTTATATGGGCCAATTTTGGCTCACAAATAATATTAATTTCATTCTTAAGATTAAGTCGCCATTAATAGCAACTGGTTTTGTCATCACGAAGCATTCACTCTTCTTTTAGCCGAGAGATAGAACAAAGGGGTTCCAATTAATGACTTCTAAGAATCCGTGTCTGTAATCTTTGAAACTACAGAACTGATTTTGAATATTCTTTTACCAGTAGTAAGCTAAGCTAAGCTTTCTACTTCATGTCCCTTATGTCATGATTAATATTAACATTATAACAGTTACAAATATACTTAGGTCATATTTTATCGGGTAAAAATAAATTTCACTCATAAAAAGCCGGGGTAGATCACTGATAATAAATACCTAGTCTTTAAGTATTTCATTGTGTTTCGTCAGAATATTATTGCCTTTACGTTAAAATGTAAAACGCACACTTATGAACATACCGACATTCAGAGTAATGCGTATAAATAGGTGTATCGTTAGTCAAACATCCACTGCGGCGAAATTGTTGACAAACAGTCAAAGTGACAAGTTTATCAGTAGTACGTATACTGAGACACAGCTGTCAGAACCTCGTAAATACGAAGAAATCGTTCTTTGAAAAGACTAGCGACGGCGTCTGTTATATAAACACTGAAGATGAACCTGTACCAATAGCTTAACTTCCCTTCCAAAGTACGGAGGAGCTGCCCCCTATGACAACGGATACCTAGACCCGAGGTTCAAGTCTCAGAGACGCCCCCTAGTTGAGCCGACCCCCTCACGTTCGAGTGGTCTAGAGGCTCCAGATGAAGAGGAGATTCCCCCCATGGGGAGATGCCATCCGCCTGGAATACCTCTAGAGGCACTCGCAAATTCTCGCTTGAGTTCCTCTTAGGATCTCGCCGTCCCCAAACCCGGTGACACTATCTGCGACCAACAGCATACACTCTAAAAAGAAAACGGATGAGCTCGAGATTAAGCTATGGTCACCCATCTTATGACTGGCCATTGTGAAAGCTGTTGAACTTCCGCAGTCGTAGACCGACCGCTATTGCCACTGCTCCATTGTGCTATTCGTGGTATGAAATTTTGCGGGGAAACTATAATACATGTTACGTTTCCGATGGTAGGCCCCTAAATATTGTTTGAGTACCTAGAGAATTGGCCCCTTTCCTCCCTTTATATATGAAACTAGAGGTGACCTGCTGTTTCACCCACATTAATTTGAGGGAAAACTTTATAGTGGGTCAATCTTATAAGATAAGATAGACATAATATGCTGTCGCGGACGTTTTTATAGAAATTTTAAATGGGATCAATTCTGTCATTCTGTACCCTTACACGAACCAATATCATAAAACGTTACACTTATCAACGGTTAGAGTAAACATCCTTACAAACAAAGTATACACACACATAGTAATTTTCCCATTAATACAAAGCAAACGTAATTTCAACGGAAGTGTATTAATACAATGTCTTTTTATCATAACAAGTAAATCAAAATGTGAAAGTGACGCTCTGCTTATGTTTTCATGACAAAGAATGATAAAAAATGGAACTAATCTATAAATTGTGCGAATTTTAAAATCGTTTTTATTCGTTTGTAACCCTTTTTAGTGTTTCGTAGTCTTGATAAGGAAGGAACCCTCATAACTTCGTCATGTCCTCTGTCTGTCTATTCGTCCTCGGCTTTGCTTGGAGACTAGCTGTAGGGAGCTGTAATTAAATTGTATATCAATCACACCGAAAAAATGGTAGAATAAAATTTTGAAAGATATTTTTTTTATAGCGTAACTCCCCTACATGTAACCTGGGGATGATTATAAGTTATTGTAGCGTAAAACCTTGCGTTGAGAAAAATAAAATGAAAAAAAACTATTTAAAAATTGTTTTTTTTTTAATTTCCGATACAGAAAATAAAGACTTCTGCTCAAATATATTATGGCAACGACAAGCAACTACGAAACCCTACACTGCGCGTGACCCAACAAGCACTTGGCTAGTTTTTTTGTTATCAAAATGGTGGTCACATTCGTGGCTTCAAAATAAACTCTCTAAAATAGCACTGGCTCAGATTGTGAAGATTTCAGTAACTGTATTAAATATGTCAACTTAAATAATTTACCCTTGTTTCACAACATAATTGTCGTTGAAGTTTATAACCATTTTTGAAAATAATTTCCAAAATTGACACTTATCACCTGTCCATGTTATTATGTCAGAGACATTGTTGACTTTTTGAAATAGGGCCCTGCTAGTAAGTGGTCACTAAGCACCAAAGGTACTACTTATGCGTTGGCGGCTCTGAAGGAAAAGGTTCTCCTGCCTTTTGAAGACCGTCATACGAGTATTATAGCTATGGGGAAAACAACACAGAGAAGTTTGTTCCAGATTTTTCTGGTACGAAAGAAAAAGGAAAGCGCGTCACGCACGGTGCTACATTAATAGGCTGATGAGTTTATAAAATATATTCCATTTTAACGTGACTACCTTAATCAAATAGTGTTTCACTAACAACATAAATGTTGATAGAAGATAAGATATTGGAGGTCGTGGTATACCAACTTTTTTTAGACGAATGAGGTTATTGTTCAAGCAGTTCTGTTGATACACAAAGTAGGTAGGTACGTAAGCGCCAATTTGTTGGTATCTTTAGCCTATTATGAATGAAATGAAAACTACGTCATCAGTGTGACACATGCTGCTGAACTAGGAATGCCTTAATAATATCAGATTTAACGTATGTTTTACGTTTAGATCTGATTTGCAGCTAAAACAACTATAACTGTACTTATTTCAGTAATTCTTATTTAGATCAAAGCGAATGTCACAAAACAAAATTGCAATGAATTTTTTTACCGGATTATAGTAATTTAAATAATGTGATAACTGAACCGGCTAACGAAAATTACTTGGATGTTCATAGGCGGCCGAATTTGATTAGGCTGACGTTGATATGTCAGCAACAGACATTACGCTGGTATTGTCATCGTTGGTACCATAATCGGTCTTTTTAGAATCTAATTATGTTGACGCAGACATATTAACGTAGATATAATGGTTCATCAGTACCAGTAGCTAGATCTGTTTAGTATTATTTGTTTGGATTCCAAAACAACGCACGAGCATCATAAAAATACCTGTATACAACTTTAAATAAATCAGACCAAGTATAAAACATTGATATTGAATTATTATATTGATTCACACATACCAAAACCTGAAAGGGATGTTTGAAAGTCTTGTAATCAAGGAACCTGACGAACGGTAACGGAATGTTTAAGAAGACCGGACCTGAACATTTCGAAGTGTAAGCTAATTACTAGCTGGAGTTTTACTGTAATCATTTTCATGAACATTTATAATGATAATGAAAGCGGACGGAGTGCGTACGGGTCGTGCCTCATTTCTCTCTGCCTACCCAACTTGGAACATGCCGTGAAGACAGATATAAAGAACATGTATATCTGTATACTTAGTATTCACACAGGGAAAAATATTAAAAAATAATGTGATACAACTCACCAATCTCGTCGATGCCAACCAATTTCGTAGCCATGGATCTCAGGGAGGTCGCACCGGCCGAACTGAACATGTCCAGCACGGGTCCTAGGAAGTACACGGACCGGTTTGGCGCCATAGCGTACACCACACTCGCGGCAATCCTGCTGAGGCAAGCCACCACGCCGATGGTGCTGTCTTCTATCTTCCAGCGCTTGCTGAACAAGTAAATTGTGACGAAGGAACCTGCATACGGGAAATGCACGTTTGAATGAATGCATGAAAGCAAGATAAATATTTCTAACACTTCTACTAATTAACCTAGTCCCGAAGTCAGTAAGATTACGCACGCCACAACCAATAGGGTATTAAGTAGGCAAAACCATTTATTTTTTTATTTGCGTTTCGAAAACTACATATTTTTCTCTATAAACTGGTAAGATAATTGTATTTTAATTCGAAATAGTTTTTGAATTATAGCAACACAAACATGTCGTCAATTTCTAAGCAAAATTTATGATTGTGAGTATTCTAAACAGTATTATGTTAATACCCTATTGCCCGTTCGGATTAATACAAGTTTTAAGTTTTTTTTTTTAAATAATACCCTCTGGCCTGTTCAATTTTATTTAATATATTATTTTCAGCGAAATTATTTTAAATTTTTTTAAAACTTCAAAACGCGATATCTCAAAACACTGTTTTTGAAAATAATGCCCTTTTGTTTGTGACGTGCGATTAGTATTATGGGATACTAGGGTAGCGGATGGAATAGAATACATTTATATTTTTATTTTTTAAGCATGTAACTGCTAGATGTTTAAATCGAAAGAAAATTTTACTAAAAACAAAAACCCACGGGATGTTTAAATCGAAAGAAAATTTTACTAAAAAAATCCCGGCGGGCCATGCTCGTCCGGTCTGCTGCCTTGTCCGCGTGGATTTTTTTTACGGGTAAACGACTAAGTGTAAATGTACGAAGTTGAGTACGCCCGTATTCTGGTAGTTTTCGTTTTGGTTGCCCGACATAGTCTTCCAGACCGTTATTCCAGTGTAAATATTGCTTTGGGTTCCCAAATTTGAGTAATGTCTTTCGTGCACCCGAATAAGGGCTAACGTCCAAGTATAATTGAGCCATAAGACACAAAACACACATACACATACAGCACTCTACAACGATTGTGATTTGCGCAAGCAAAGTGCAAACTTTGCTTACAAAGGACAATGGGCAAAACGCACCCAGCTCCGCCAACAATGTAATTAGTATGAATCGATAGATCTATAAAAAACTAGCCTTTTTTATTATGACACCAAAAATAAATATCCTGGGAGTCAAAAGACATGACACCGTAAAAAACATCCTGGTAGTCAATAGATATGACACATGGGCATATTTAAGTAGCTAAATAAATTCATTTTATAATACCTTCATTTTATATTATTAGTAATCATAATAATATGCCATATCGTACTATACAACCAGATATACGACAAAGCCTGCCGACCATCCTGCACTTGCTCTTACTGAGACATTTCAAAACGGTTTACGGATGATGAAGGACTTGCAGTTGCAATAGTCGACTCGTCTTACTTCGTTGTGATTGTGCACTCCCTGCTACTTGATTGTTTTTTATCTAACACGCTTTGGATATTGGAACACGATTATCGGTTTTGTCAATTAGTATGGATGCACTGGAATCATGTGTTCTCCGAAGCGTGGACAAGTTTGTGTAATCTGTGGTCGCTCCGTTTTACATAGAAGACAATTTACTTTAACAAACAAAATGTTTGAATGTTTTAAAAAAAACCCAACCCATGCGGGGATGTTTGGATTTACTCTAGCGCGGCAGAATAACATAAGGGGGCACCCTTGCACCTTGTGAAGTACTCCCATAATCCCAGAGCACCCTATATAGAGTCGAACTAACTATGTTAATTCCCTTGTTTCATTAATGTTCGTTCGTTATAGTACTTGTACACATTTAACTTAAAATAACTAAAGACCCCCGGGATGGAATTTGATGTGCTTTGGCACAGATGATCATGACTATAATACCTTTCAAACAAATGTAGTTTAAGCCGTGGCGTACGTGGATGCAGCGCTCATACATTTTTGCCCAATGTCCTTTGTGACTTATTTGGTTTTGCTACTGTTTACGTAATAGCTGACAACATACCTATTTAGTAGACCATTGATATTTATTTTCCTACCAAATTTTAATTTTTCTCTGTATTTCTTTAATTTTCACATGGGAATCATTATATTAATTTGGAGTTTGTTTATGAATAAAAGAGCACTGATTATATATGTGTAATATTTTCGCTCGTATCTTGTAATATCAATATTTATATCACATCACAAACATTGCAGAGGAATTTTTCTTCATGTCTACCTGAATTATTTTCTCTGCGTCATGATTTTATACCAATGACGTTATTTTCATTGATATGAAGTTAGGTTTTTTAACATTTAAATACCAATGTAAGAGTTATGGATTTTTAACTCTTTTACCCAAGGCCTTGTGGCCAAGTGGTATGAACGCTGGTGGTTTCAAGGTGTCGCTTATTCGAGAGTTCCCAGGTACGAGACTCGGTTCGCCCGAAATACCCCGGGTGATCCCTGCCGTGGAGTCCCGGCTGGGCCGGGAGCCTGTTTGGCGCGGAGACGCAGTGAAGTCCCACAACGGGGATCCCTAGGTTTCGCACTTAACAGTGTAGAGGGTTTATTTAAAAAAAAGGTAGGAGTCCTGGTGGGGGCAAATATTTATGTGGTGAATACGAGCATTTGTACTCCAGTCATGGATGTTTAATATGTATTTCTATATAAAATATACTTATATATGTTTCAGTATATGTATTCTATCCGTTACCCTAGTATCCCATAAAACAAGCCTTACAGTGATTACTTTGGGGCTAGGCTAATTGGTGTGAGAGTTGGAAATCATTTATTGAGGTTGGTGGAGACCACAATTTAGGTGCCTATTTAAATGGAATAAAAAGGTTTAAGTACAAAAAATCTCAACTGTTTATTATTAGGTCTTTAGTTTAAAGCAATTATTCATTTAAACTTTATCGCACATAACATAAGCAAACGGCGGACTTAATGCCATAGACTTTCTCTACCAGTCAACCAGTATGAGTGTTGGAGAAAAATAGTATGGCGATAGGGCAAAGTTGCTAAAAAAATAATAAAATGAAAATTAGCATAATAACAGCAATAAAATAATAATACTTAAATACAAATTGTTTATTTCTGTAAATAAATTATAATAAAAACGGTCCATGAATGTTGTGTTCTCGCTATAGTTAAACCGCCGCCAGTTAAATTTGATACTTTTCTGTGAAATTATAATCCATCCATACTCTTTATCCAACTAATATAATAAATGTGAATGAAATTTGGTACGCATATATAGTTTATATATATGCTAACATGTTTCCGGGATAAAAAGTCAGTCAATGACCTGAAGTCGGGTCATTGAACGCTTTCAACTCGAACTGCAAAATCGCTTCGATTGCCTAGAGAGCTGCGTAGACGTGGACAATTATAATGACAGGTTTGTTGAAGCTGTCCTTACGGTGGGCTCGAAGTTCTGCAAGCCCATCCGTACCAAAAAACGTAGCAAGATCTCGGAGCCGACTCTCAAGCTCATGGAGAAAAGGCGTGAGATGGGTCTGCAGTCCTCTGAAGATGCACGTCGGCAGCTCAATAGGCAGATTTCGAAGTCTCTGACTCGCGATATACGCCGCTTTAATACTGATCGTATTAAAGAGGCCATCGAGCGGAACAAAGGCTCGAAAGTGTTCGCAAGAAATCTGTCTCTTGGACAGAGTTTGCTGACGAAGCTGAAGACAGAGGACGGCAGAATCATTTCGTCGCAACCTGAGCTTATGGCTGAGATCGAAAGCTTCTACGGACAGCTATACGCGACATCACGAGTACCTGTCACAAAGGCGACCGACCCAAGAGCCAAATTAACCCGACACTACACCGAAGATATCCCGGACGTCAGCCTGTACGAGATTAGTGTAGCTCTGAAACAGCTCAAAAACAATAAGGCGCCGGGTGATGACGGAGTTACAGCCGAGCTTCTGAAAGCAGGTGGACGACCAGTCTTGAAATCTCTTCAGAAGCTATTTAACTCTGTCATACTCGAGGGCAGAACGCCTAGCGCATGGCATAGGGGATTGGTGGCGCTTTTCTTCAAGAAGGGCGACAGGGCCCAATTGAAGAATTACAGACCCATCACGCTCCTGAGTCATGTATACAAGCTGTTTTCGAGAGTCCTCGCGAATCGTCTCGCGCGCAGGTTTGACGACTTCCAGCCTCCCGAACAAGCCGGATTCCGAAAAGGGTTTAGTACCGTAGACCACATCCATACGCTGCGGCAGGTTATACAGAAGACCGAAGAGTATAACCTGCCATTATGCTTGGCGTTTGTGGACTACGAGAAAGCCTTCGATTCGATCGAGACATGGGCCGTGCTTCGGTCACTCCAAAGGTGCCAAATAGACTATCGATACATCGAAGTGTTGCAGTCGTTGTATGAAAACGCCACTATGTCAGTTCGACTCCGGGACCAAAGCACGAAGCCAATCCAGCTACAGCGTGGTGTAAGACAGGGTGACGTTATATCACCGAAACTGTTTACAGCTGCGCTGGAAGACGTTTTCAAACTTTTGGACTGGAGCGGACTTGGCATCAACATAAACGGCGAGTACATGACGCACCTTCGATTTGCAGATGATATCGTAGTCATGGCTGAGACCATGGATGACCTTGGCACAATGCTCGGCGACCTCAGTAGGGTGTCCCAACAAGTGGGTCTCAAAATGAACATGGACAAGACGAAAATCATGTCGAATTCCCATGTCGTACCCACTCCAGTGACTGTTGGGAGCTCTACACTGGAAGCTGTTGACCAGTACGTATACCTGGGACAAATAGTCCAACTGGGTAAGTCCAACTTCCAGAAAGAGGTTAATCGACGAATCCAACTCGGCTGGGCAGCGTTCGGGAAGCTACGTAGCATCTTCTCGGAACATCTACCGCAGTGCCTCAAGACGAAAGTCTTCAATTCGTGCGTGTTGCCAGTGATGACATACGGAACCGAGACGTGGCCGCTTACAATGGGTCTTGTAAGAAGGCTCAAAGTCACCCAAAGGGCAATGGAGAGGGCTATGCTCGGAGTTTCTCTGCGTGATCGAATCAGAAATGAGGAGATACGCAAGAGAACTAAAGTCAC